ACATTGAGAGCCTGAACTCACAACCGCCTTCCGTTGAGAAACTCTTTTGGGTGACTCCACTGAGGATCATGTGGAAAAAAACTAAAAACGCATAGGTCTTCAATGAAAAACAAAAGGAAAAGACCTGCTCAAGGGCTTCAAGAGCTACTTGTCCAAAGATCTTCCGATGGCCCTGTGTTCCTTCCAAGAACATTGCCATGAAGAAAGAGGACCCGGGTCAAAAGAGATACTCGCAGCATAGTGATCAAATGGACCAAACGCGGCCACCACCCCGCCTTTTTGGAACACTCAGGATAGGTATTCAATGCTCATATTCAGCCCGCCTTGTCCTTTGGGTCCAAACAACCAACAGGCACCACTGCATCGGTACTGCCACTGTGTTGAGCTGACCAAAACCCAACTTCCCCGGCCGAGGGGGAAAACGATCCAAGCATGTCGTCTTTGCCCTGCTACTCAGTACTCAACTATGATGTACCCAGACCGTCCCATGGGACCCGGCAGAATTACCATTACACATGAATCGACCCTATCAAGCTAAACCCAGAATTGTCCGGAAGAGTGTGCGAACTATGATCGATATGACCGGAAGATGTTGTTCTTCCCAGTCCCATCGTTGAACTCGGAGGCGTCGAAGTACCGGTGGATCTTGTTCCGACAATCCAAGTTCCCTGCTACACCTGCACCATCCCCAAGCAGGTGAGCTATTGGATGCCTGCACCCAGAAGGGCACACCAAAAAAGTAGCACCCGTGAAACCGCACGCCCAAAGCGTCTGGATCGTGGATCGGCAAACGCCCAAGGCGCTTGCGCAAGATCCAGGTCGTCGACGCTGAACAGGAGCAGAATCCTCTTGGAGATCCTCGACACGATGTTGCTCGTCGGTGGGTTGTGTGAACATCGGTCAGCGAACGGCCAAACGCTGGATGTGTTCTTCAAGAGTCCTGGAGCCGCCTGGAGCGAATGATTTAAGGATTGGAAATGAGCAACTGCCAAGACGATCCGGGGACCCTCTATAGCAGGAGTCTGGACTCTCAAGACCCTTTCCATTCATTTTAGTTCGGGTCTGGGACCCTTAGGGATCTGTTCTGTTATTCATCATTTGACTTTGACCTTAGTATCCTTAGTCAAGTTCAAGCTGGCTCGTTCCCCATCAAATGGCTCACTGTGGTGGAGAAGAAGGTGCGGAATGGACGGAACTCCCTCTCTTGCCCCGTGGCTTGAACATCGGACCCTATGGGATCAGAGGAAGCGACTGGGCCTCGATTTGCTAATCACGACGATGGCTCTCGAGATCCTCAAAGCGCTTATATAGCTCTCTTTGAAGCTACTAGGGGCTCCTGGCATTGCCACTAGGAGCAAAGACGCTACTAGGGGCTCCAGGCCGTACTAATTACTAGGGACAAGAAGCTACTAGGAACAAGGATGCTCTTCAATCCAACTCTCCCTGCCTCTCTCTTGGCCCACGACGGAGCTTGGAACGCCGGATGATCAAAGGGTGCAGCTGATGACAATAGGTGCAGCGAGCACCCTTCCTTGGTCCGAACCCTAGTGGTGGAAGAGACCTGGGAAGAACTATAGAAAAGCGCTGCAAATGTTGGAACAGTCCTCCTGCCTCACTTGAAACCACCTAAACTTGGACCTAAACGCTACAGTATATGTCGTGTTCACACAACTGGGGCAAGAACGGACTCAAAATTGAAGGCTGCACTTGGTGATGCACTTGAACGGTGGCTCCGAAGCATAGCATGTGGTGAATCCGACTCTGTGATGCCTTGACGGCCAGTTCCCGTGGAATCTCAAACCCATTTGGATTGGACCGGCGTGGACCACGTGCGGCGTGGACCACGTGCTGGCACCTGCCACATGTGTTTAAGAGCACACCCTGGAGCTGTGAGAAGGATGGCAAGCATGTGGAGAACAAGGAGAAGGAAAAGGACAGGGAAGAAGAAAGGTGGAAGTAAAAAAAAATGGTCTAGTTTATTGGAAAGGGCGACAAAAGCCTATGAGGGAGAGCAAATTAATGGGGAGAGGCGTGAATAGAGGGTCTATGGCCTCCCCGTTCCGGAGCTTAAAAATTGTTGGCGAGGTTTATAGATGTTCTTTTGACAAACTTTCTGGGGGTGGCCTTGGAATTCTGTGAGTTTGGAGGGCTTGCGTGCAGGTCTTCAGAACAGTGCGATGAAAATCGAGTCCAAGGGCTGGAGAACTGAGTGAGGAGGCTGAAGACATGGATGAGTCGGATGAGTTGCTTGAGAAGCATCAAGACTACACTTGACTACACAACATGGGTGATGAGCATCAAGACTACACCTGGGCAGTTGCTGCGCCATGCTGCGCATTTCCACCACTTTGGCAGTGAATGCGCAAACTGCCAAAGGTACGTGCCAACAATGAGCCAGCAGCAGCAAAATGTGTGTTGAAAGTTTTGAAGAAGGGGTGCTATATAAATTGACTGGCAATAGGACCATGGGATGAGGGATTGATTGGTGAAATTAAAGGGGTTGAAGAAGGAAAGAAAGGCCGTTAGTATCGTTAGTGACGCAAAAAGAGGCCCCAAGACAGGTGGACCAAACTAATTGGGAAGGTCATGAAAGGCGGTTGTTATTGCCGGAACGAGGCGGACCAAACTGAGAAAGGGGATATATATAATATACAGTATACAGTTTCTTAATCCTATCTGTACAGTATTTCATCACCACTGACTCCTTCGCTGAATCATGGAGTCCGGAATCTTGTTCATTTTCAATGTCTAGGAGACCAATGTCTAAACTCCAAGCCATTTGTCCGGTTCCTGGAAAATCGCCGCAGAAGTCATTTCCGCCGGGCATCGGACATCCTGTTTGAGACTGATTGAAAATACATGGTTGGCATCTGCCATTGCTGTGATCCTCCTCCTGACCTGGAATCACCGCAAACGCGGCGTTTTTCGAACGCGATCCAAGAACGCGGTCCAATGGGGTCAGAATTGGATGGAGGTTGGAGAGAATATGAGACATTCCCACTGAAATCAGCAAAACTCAGAAATGGCGCGTTCAACTTAATCGAAGCTTTGAATGAACCATGCAGGCTTTCTCTTGGTTTACCCATTGACCCAGAGTTTTGCTGTGAATCCCGTACATGATCAATATGCCTACATCCCAGTACATCCTCACAAATTAATTGCTATGTATGCATCTGCATGTGTGCATCCAACAGTTTTGGACCCAGTTGTATATTGCATGCATTGTAAAGCCTGCTGCACAATATTTGGAGCCAAGTCCGGCCAAGTCTTCGATGGATCCGACCAGAAAGGGCACTTTACCCGAGCCACATGCCAAGGAACACCAGAAACGCCAAGGAACACAACGCCCCGGTGGTCGTGTTCCTTTGGACCAAGCCCGGCAGGGTCATTTCACTGGGATTTCGGTTTGACCAATTTCGGTTGGACCGAATCAGATTCCATCAGACTCTCCCCAAGCTGGTCGTGCGGAGCAAAGAGGACCTAAACTTTGAGGTGTTTATCCTATAGGAGTATCACTCTGAGGTTGAGTCTAAATCAACTTTGAGGATCTCCTATTCCATCTGCTATTCTATCATCAGACTCTCCGCACCAAAACCCCTTTGCCCTCACCCCAGAACTTCCGATGACTCATGCGTCCAGCCTCTCAAAGTTTATGCTGTCAGGTCACTAGTGGAGGTGTCGCCTGATCCTGCCGTCGTCCACTGGGACCTGGAGTCCTGGGACCTGGAGTCCTGGGACCTGGAGTCCGCGGACCCTGATTGGCTTTCTTCAGCACGCGAATCACCAGAGGTTGAAGCGGTGCTACGAGCCACGGGTGGCTGCAACTCTGACGCCAGCGAGTTCATTCGGCGTCACTTCCGGAAGGCACTCGATAGCACTCGAGGGCCCTCGAGTGTTAAGCCACAATTAAATGCCAAGCGATCACAAACTGCTCGTTAAATATTTACCCGTTCTTGAGCCGAGAAGCCGGGCCAAATCGGATAAGCGTCGGACACATCGCAGAACATGCGTTAAGTGGTAATGACTGCACAAGCCAGCACGAAGAAACCAAAGTAGTGGATCCTCTTTACCACAATACCGTACCGACTATACTACCTTAAGTTCTGTTGGGATTCACCTCAGGTGTTTTTGGGTGTTGAAATCCTGTTGAGCTCCCAGGCCCAGTTGAATGATTTGAAGCTGTTCTTGAAACCAAAGTAATCTCAACAGATCACCTTCAGCGGACTCCTTCGGAGCTGTTCAGCACATGTCCTCGACTCAGGAAGGTTTTTTCGACATACTTGAGCCTCATGCCTCATGATTACCAGACTTCACCACAGTTTATGCACTCTTCAATGTTACCTGACCTTTGACTTGAATGTTCACTGCCTTTTGATGAACATGACAACAAACCCAACCTTGGGCCTCTTCAAACCAGGGTGGTTTTCCACCTTCGGGCTTCCTTGGGGAGTGTGTGGACTCCCTCCAAAACCACCAAATCCAAAAGCCCCACTGACCGTTTGGATGCTTCCCTCCACTGACCGGTCCTCTAGTGCGGTGCTTCGTGCTGAGCGCGCTCGCTCCACCCGGCAAACGCCGCCCCAAACAAGCGCCGGTCGGCGCTTTGCGCGCCGGTGAACTAGGAGCCTTCCCTTCACAGGCTTCTATGGCTACCAAGAAAGGGTCTAGGAGCTTTGGGGTGTGTTTTTCGTGCTGATCGTCTTTAGGGTCTTTGCTATGTGGTTCCAGATGAAAGAAAATGAAAGAAAATAATCACAGTTTCCCCACCCAGACATCATAGATTCGATTGCACAAAGAATCTAAACAAAAAGTCAAACTGTCAACGATCTTTTCCCTGGTGCAAAAATGAACTTCTGGATGTTGTTGGGCATCTCTCCATGTTTCTTGTTCTTTTCTCCCTCTTTTTGCCCCAAAACCCATCTCGGATGACACATCCTCACCCCTCACCCCTCACCACCGCACCGGCGCCGCCGTCCACCCCCCAAATCGCTCTGGGCATCGGTCAAGAGTTGCCCGTAGGGCGAAGCCACGAGCTCTTGCTCCGCCGACGAGTTCGCCGGCACGTTCTCCTGGGCGCGCGCGCGAGGTCCGGGCGCGCGAGGTCCGGGCGGTGTGCGGAGCGCGCCGGTGAGGGGCCCACGGCCGTTGGAGTCAGGGTGCTCCATCTCCATCTCCAAGTGGAACATGAAGCAGAGGATGACGGTGGTGTCGGTTTTTTTACCAGGATTACCTCGAGCCATATGTTTTTGCCTCCTATTCAAGAATGAAACAGGAGCAGGCGGTGTTTCATCTGGCCTGCTGCAGGCAGTGTAGACTTACTGGACCCGAACATGTCGAACATGTCCCAAAGTGGAGCTAAAATGTCCCCAAATGCAACCGGACCAGTAAAATATATACCAGGACCCTCCTGTCGGGGTGTCTATTTATAGCCCCTTATATAGCCGTGATTCGGGTGTTCAGAAAAACCACCCCTTGAAGGCCCTGGTCGTGCATGATGGATCCCTTTCGTTCGGCGCATGGCCGAATGAGCCCGAAGACGAAGTTGCCGATGGTGCGGTCGGTTGTCCTCCGATCCATCCTGTAACAACTTCAGCACCTCAAGAAGTTTCAGTGGAGTGTCCCATCCTTTCTATGGTAATTCCTTTGAAAGAAAGCCTTTTCTTCGCTCCTCGACCCCTCTCTCCTCTCCTCCGCGCGGATCCGAGGACGCCATCCCACCCGTCGTGAGCGTCCAGCGGTCCAAGTCACTGGAGCGGCGGCCCAGTTCATGGGCTCCAACAGCTTGCCGGGCTCCAAGATCACTGCCTCGGAGGAAGAACGAACGGGTGGTGCCTCCACGTGTTGGGGAGCGGCTTTCCCGTGTTGGGTTGAGGTGGAAGAGGTGATGTCAACGGGTGGTAGCCCCCTACTCAAGGGGCGTTCGGGAGCGGCTGTTTCACGTGGTTTACCACACGGGTCGTGGTCTGGGTTCGGGGGTTCCGGGGAGAAGGGTCTGTGCCGCGATAGAGGGAGACCTGTTCGAATGACCCATCCATGTGTCGTTGGGCACGAAGTCGCCGTCCCCCCTTCAAACCGCCCCTCGGTGCACAAAAGCTTCATGCTCCCTTGGAGGGGAAAACCATCTCCCTTTGCATCCGCCAGCCCAAAACCGGGAAAAAAGCCGAAAACTCCCCAGCACCAGCGCCCACCCACCCGTTCCGCCTGCAAAATCTGCTGCAGCCCCTGGTCGAACAAGCTGTTCACCCGATCTCCCGTCGTGAAGAAGGCCAGCACCAGTGGCATTCGGATGTAGGGCACTGTCAAGAAGGACAGCAAGGCCTCCCGGTGCTTTTCCAGCAGCGGGTTTAATCGTCTTGAATCCGACACATCTCGGCGGCAGAAGGGGACATGATCAACCCCTTCCCTTACCATGGATGGCTTTGGCTTGGTCTACGCATGTCTATGCGAATTCAAGGTCTTGACTGCAAGAGAATGCCGTTCCATTCTCCGTGACCAAGTGGAGCCTTTCAGCACAGGCAAGACAACTCAGTCGAACAGCCAATGACATGTAATGTATCGTCCTTCACATGGGCAGGATTCTCGGGCAGTGGGTTATGGCATCCGGGGAGGAAACCCCTGGTTTTCCCAACATGAACCGAATAGATCACCTGACATGGTCACCCTAGGCCCTACCAGGATTCTTGAGACTTGCACAACGCTCCACACGCGATGCACCGCTCGAAACTCAACATACCAGCACCCTCCAACAGGTCTCCTTTGGAGGGTTGTTAGGCCCTAACCGGTTTCAATTGGTGACTTGTTGGAGGGTGCTGGTACATGAACAACTACTGTGAAGGACTGTTCGCGACTTGCACCAGTGGTGAAATGCACGTGAAACACGTGAAAGGAACTCAATGGTATGGTGGTATGGTATGGTAATATACTTATGACGTATCAGGGTTCTTGACGGCTCAGGGTGTTTACCCACAAAAGCGGCGGGTGGCTGGACCTCCGAGTCGGAGGCCCGCAGCATCTCGTTGAAGGTCGGCAGGCTCCGCATGTAGAGCAAGTCGTCTTCCGTTCCTCAACCCCCCAAGCAGGGCGGCCCAGCGCTCGAAAGGAGGATCCGGTGAGTCGTGGTCTCGGACCAGACGATCCCCATGCTTCTCAGACGGACAGTTCCTACAGAATCGGGAGGGGTGATGTGGGCCATGTGGGCCAGAGGTGCCTGCCAGGATCCACCCCCGGAAATCCCTCGTTTCTTGCGAATTGATTGAACTTGCCCCCAGACTGTGTCATTCCAAGACTTCAAAGCTGGCCTTCTGGAAGGCTGATCAACAATTCGATGTTCATCGACACATGTTCTTGACAAAACAAGGGGGAAAGATGGTCAAAGACAACCACTTGGGGATTTGAACCACAGAGACTCTTGGGAAAGCTCAGGGTGTGGATCTTTCGCCAAGCTGCTCACAGGCGTCTTAGTGTGATGCGACGGCAGGGCGGCCTTCCCAGACGCGACCCGAGTGACCCTCCGTGATTCAGTCGGGGGCTGAAAGCCCGAAGCCTGGGGTCAGGGTCCGGAACCCTCCAAGAAATCCCGATGGATGGACCAGGGACTGTTTGGAGCGTCTGGGTCTACGCAAAACAGATCAAAGCCTGCACTCGGTGGACGAAACGACCGAAAGACACACAGATATGTGAGCTTCTCGGACACCGGTGAGGCGTGGTCGTGCAGACAGAAGTCGCATCACCCCCAACAGCGAAGGGAAGCTGACGAACCACTGGGACTGTGCAGTTCTAGCGCTGTCCAATTAGCCCTTCCAAACCCCGCCATCCACGTCGACCACCACCCACCCCACATCGCAGAAGCCACCGCCCACCGCACGCGTCTCCGCACGCCACGCGCTCCGCGTTGTCTCCCGCGTCTCTCGCGTCGCTCGACCGCACCGAAGGCCACCGCAGCCCACTGGCGGGCGGCTTCGGCCGATGCGGCGGCACATCGTGCTTGAGCAGATGCTCCTGGCGGAGAGCGGAGGAGGCGGGGAGCGGAGGAGGCGGAGCCGGGTCCCTTTTGTGGGGAATGAAGTATAGGGGCATGCTGGCAGCCAAGGGGAGAAATGCGAGCGAAAGAGTGGGCATATGTATATAGGCATATGTAGGCCCTATCAAAAGCTGGATTCTATAGAAAGTGGAACTCTTCTGTTGGGCGCAGGTCGGTCGCCTCGAGGAGAGAGCTACTGAAAACCTTCCTATAATGAAAACCTCTCAGAACCCGATCGGCAACGGTTGACCCCTCCAAGGTCTCTCCTCTCGCCAAGAGGGGTCATCATCTCAATCTCATGACCCTGAGAGCAGCCACCAACCAAGAGTCCCAACTTCCAGTCCCATCCACACCGAGAACGACCAAAGACACCGCTCTCCAAGACACCAGAACGCCCCAAACACCGACACCAGCACCCGCCGCACCCAGCTCCCAGAACGCCCCACTCTCGTCTCGAGACGCGCGAGACGTCTGGACCGCCCGTTCCGGATCCTTCCCAAGCGCTGAGACCAAGAAGACTTTACCTCCGGGGACGGTGGACGGAGACCGGACCGGGAGGGCGCCCGGACCGGGCGGACCGGCGGGCGTGGCGGGCGTGGCGGGGGACGACGAGGGGCTGGTTCCTGGTGGGAGCCATAGAGGGAGACCGGACCGGTTCAAAGAGGACAAGCTTCATGGTTGTGTAGAAGGAGACGCCCCATCCTGTTGAAACGGGAACCATTGGAGTATTTTGGTCTGCAAAAATAGCAACTAAGACTCAGACTATGGCGGTGATTGCTTTTCGGAATTCATGTCTGTTGGGGCATCTCAATCATTTCTTCGAAGAGGACACCTCACAGAAGATGCGGCATCTCATCCACCTTCTCGCTGGGCTTGCGCTGGGTGTGACCTCTCCTCCAGAGTCTCCAGAGTTCCAATGACCCTCAAAGAGTAAGATGCGCGAATCGCGGATCCTTCGGCACGTCCTAAGGTGTGGGGCATGTCAGGTTGAAGAACCCCAACAAGACTATCCCACCAGGCCGGCACCAAGAGGTGTCTATAAATAGCCTCTTAGAGGTTAAGAGATGTCCAAAAACCAGCTGTTGGAAGGTCCTGGTAGGTAACTAGCCCTATAAAGGCCCAGATGACTAGCCCTATCAAAGGTCATTTTTGGGGGGGTGGGCCATGGTCGTCTCCTTCGTTGCTTCCATGTTCCATCCGGCGTGACGTCGGCTGGGCCTCGGTTGGGCGGGCAGCCAAAGGCCTTCTGTTCATCCACCACCTGCCACTTGAGGTAGGCACTTTGCGGCACATATTCCTCAGCGGCGAGTTGATCGAAAGGCCGAAGAACCCATACAATCAGCCCTACACTGCATAAGGAAGCCACCAACCACAACTTACCTCCGGCTCGTTGTTGACAACCACTCACCCACTATTCATCTAGGTGTCCTTCAAGAATCTCTTGCCCCGCCCTTCATCTGAGGTGCATTGACCTTGGGGAAGACGCGCAGGTCGGTGCAAAGGAAATACTTCCAGTAGAAGATGATATCGCGATAGCCTGGCTTCGGCGCCGTTCAAAGGGATCCGGCCCAACGCGGCGGCGCAGGGGGCCGGCGACGAGTCTTCCTTCCCGAACGAAACGACTGAGCTGATGGAAAGGATGACTTTGAGTGAGGATGACTTGTGCAGTTCTCTGCATGATGGACACGATTTTGCGGCTGTGGGCATGCCCCAAACTCGGGTTAATGCCATGATCATTCTTGCACGGGGAGGGCTCTTCCTTTCCTGCAAGTTCAATACAGCCTTGTGCTGAGCAGATTTGCATGTAAAGAAGTGGCAGCCTATCAACGACATGTCCATCTAAACTATACCTTTCCGGTTCTTCGGCACCGTGTTCCACGTCCTTTTTTTCAGGGAAGCTCCAGCCAAGCAGCATTGGAACTCCGGCCATGTGTGAACCTCGCATGGCAGCACGAAGAGGCCACTCCCACCCTTTGGATCATGAGAGATGACCGAGGCAACATCTGCCAAAATCTCTGAAGTTGCTGGTCGGAAGGCCAGGCGCCAGCAGGGAGGACCCTTATCAAGCCCATTACATCGAATTGGCTCTCAGCAAAAGGGTGTGACTTCGTGCTTGCTGTAGCTTGCCTCCAAGCGTGCTCCCTCGCTTGCCTCCAAGGGTGCGTGCGACCAACCCAGTGAATAGATGACAGGTTCAAACGCCAGTGAGAGACGTCACCGTCTCACTCACCTGAGAAAAAAATCCGTTGGTTCAGACTTTCCACCTTCGACTGTCGGGAGATCTGTCCAACCTGCCCATCCAAGAAGCTAGATAGGGATCACTGCCAGCAGCCAAGTCAGCCCATCCGCCGCCAGCCTGAAAACATCAGCCGGACACATGCCCCCACCCGAAGGGGGCGAGTCAAAGGAGATGTTTCAACCAAATGTCCATCCTCCGAAACCATTTTCGTCAAAGGGGATTCGGGATTCCAACATGCACGTTTGGCGGAATCACCCCAATGATGGATGAACAAACTGAACTTGGGATCCCTTAAAAATGCCCTTTGAGAGCCCAAATCCTGGATTTCATGTTCGTCCAATCCTGCATTTGGCAGACCCGAAAAACCTCTGTACCAAAAAAAGGTTAAGTGACCTGAACTAGGACCTTACTGGGATACCGAACTGGGATAGTCGAACGTTCGGGTTCTTCAACCTCTGTTGGTAGAACCCACCCAATCTGGACCTTTTCAGCCCCACCGCGAGCTTACGCCGGAGGTCCGTTCCGATCAGTTTCTCCAATCATCGCCCCCACTGGGTGGTTTGCCCGAAAACAGCGAACGGGGAGCCAAAACGTAAACATGGGACGAGTGACTCAGAGGAAGTGGTTATACGTCCTTTTCATCTATCTGAAATACAACTCAGTGACAAAGCTCATACAATATACCATATAAATAAGGGCTCCAGTCCGGAAAAAAAGAGGTCCTGCAGCAACCCAAAACCGCGCATCGTTCCACTGAACTCGTTCCCCTCGCGATCGATGGTTCGCGAACTCGGGTTCCGTTTCGGGGGCCGCGCGCGGTAGATGCCGCCTGAAGGAGGTGATGGGAGCAAATGGTCTGAACCAACTTCTTCAGACCTGTCGGCCGAGGTCCGGAGCCATGCGGCGCCGATCTCGGGATGGAGCCCGAGGTGAGAGAAGCAGCTCAGCTGAGCAGCTGGAGCAGCTCTTGGATCAAGCCCCTGGAGTCACCGGGAGGGGCGAAGTCCAGGTGAAGAATCGATCAGAGATGATGTATCACGGATGGATGATGCGGCATCTAGATCCGACGTGTGGGGTTTTAGGAAAAACTGTTCTTCTGTTCTTCCAGGGGCCCAGGGTGACCGGATTTCCCAAAAAAAGAAGTTTGCGCAAACGAAGAAACATGAAAATTCGACCTGAAATCAGTATACCTGGTCGCAGCCCGGAAGAATGAAGCACCTTTTCTCTCCCCTCCAACCCTTTCGGCCCATATCCGCGTCCCAAGTAAAAACGAGAAGTGCGAGAAGTGGCGAAGGCAAAAAAGATGCATGAAAGGTGGCGAATGGTCCAAACAAGAGCCGGCACCTTTGCTAAAGACCATGAATGGAGACAGAGTGTCAAGTTCTGATCCTCGCCACGTCAACAGTGACGTCTCCATTTCCTCAATGACGTCTTCGACCTGCTGAGAGGCTTTCAAGGAATTGCGTATCTTCTCATCAATCCATGTCGGCGTATCTTTGGAATCTGGGCAGAAGGTGCACGAGAAGACATTCGTCTTTCAAATAACCCTCAATCGCTTCAAATACCCACGGGATGTCATAGGAAAGGACCCCTCATCGGAAATTCCCCCCTCCCTCATCGGATCTCAGCCCCTCAGCCTAGGTCCATGGTCCTTACCTCCATCCGACCCACAAGGAAGACGACGATAATGCCGTCGGCCTGACTCCTTGTTGACCCAAAGCATCCAGCCATGTTGGTCCCAATCGAAAAGCGTTTGATCTTTCCCGCTGGGCACCTCTGCGCGCGCCGCGCGTAGCGCGTCGCGGAGCCCACGCACACATCGATCGATCGATCCTCTATAGGGGGTTGAGGGGGGGTTGAGGGGGGAGCTGCGAGGGTGCATCAATCCTTCCGAAAGCTCACAGAGATCGAAGTCGAGCTTCGGCGAGGTGGAGCTTAGCCGCTGAGCCCGGCTGAGCCCTACAGCTCAAGGACCTCATGTTACTCGAGCCGGTCATGCAAAAAGAATCATCTGCTCCATGAGGTTAAACCCCCAAAAAGCCCACAAAAAAGCTTCAGGCTGGATCAGACTGGACCGGTCACATGAGAGTCCGGTCACGCACACACGCATCTTCGGCGCGCCTGCAGGTTCTTCTTCACCTCCGTGAAGTAGCTGGCCACCGCCGTGCGCGCCACCGAGATCTCGGGCGTCACCGCCTCGATGGTCTCCGACTGCCGCATGAAGCTCGTGGGGTCGATCGCCTGGAAGCCACGGTGCGGTGTGGGGCGGAAGCGGAGGGCTCCGGGGAGACGGCGGGTGTCTGGTGATGGGTGAAGCGGGTGTTTGGGGTGGGGTGGGTGTCCCCTTTTTGGGAGTATATAGACAGTTATAGAGTAGTGAAGTGAGAGGGTTTTTAGGCTGGGTGTGGGTGTGGGTGTTTGTTGGGTGGGTGCTTGTTGTGTTTTGTATGTGAGTATGTATAGGTGTTGTTTTGCGCGTGTGCGTGTGTGTGTGTGTGTGTGTGTGTGTGTTCCTTTTTCGGTGCGGCGTGTGAGTTGTTTTCTTCCTGTTCAGATGGTCCGAAACCATTTGGGAGGGAGATGGACACATCTGTCTGTCAAAACCGCTTTGCCAAAAACATTCGAAAGGATGGAGATGGATGAAAGCCGGAGGATCGAAAATGAAGGAACTGGTGCTCCACCACTCCTGGTGCCCCAGTGAAACCCAAAACATCCAACATATCCACCATACCACCAAACCACCTCCAAACCTGCCCCTCTTCTAGTACCCACCCACCCATGCACCCGGCATATGTTCTGAACAGCTTCCAAAACGCCGTTCCAAACGTCCGAGCGTCCATGGGTTTCCATCCCTTGCCGCCCACACCGTTCAGCAGATCCGACACCAGGCTGGGGCAGGGCTCGGCTTCGGCCACGATCGGCCCGCCCTCGCGCTGGGGCTTGGGGATGCCTCCGGTGACGGTCACGGCGGTTTGGAGAAGGCCGGTGGAGGGCCTGGAGGAAGGGTTCAGGATCACACCATCAAGCCAAGCCCCCTCCTCTTCAGGCCATACAAGTAAGTAGGGGAGGTTGAAATATCATCATGAATCATGCTCAAGAGATCTCAAGAGTCTACCAGGGGGTTGAGTTTGGGATGCTCCATCTTCGTGAGTCCTTTTGGGAGGGATCTCCGATGATCTCAGCGTTTGATTCATTCCTTCTGTCTCAGCACTTATCTCAAGACTGTGATCCTTGATGATCCCGATCCAATTTCACGAGACATCTAAAGAAACCTCTGGCGCCGCAGGGAGTTTCTTGTCGCTCGGACGAGCACCTGTGCTGCTGCGGAACACGTCCGCGCCGCGCTAAACCCACGGTGCGCGAAACCCCCGCCGTGTCGTCTTCTACCGGGCCTGGTAGCACCGTGCGGATCCGCAGCACCCGGTCCGCGATGGCCGCGATGGCACCCAAGACCACGATCTTGACCCCGTCAAAGCCGCCTGGGGCGGGCGAGGGGGAGACGAATGGAAGGGGGAGGGGAGACATTGGAGACAGACAGTGGAGATCGACATGAGGAGGGAATGAAAAGAACATGTCGACCTTGTTACCCCAGGTATTACCCCCTGTCGGAGTCGGGGTGGTTGTATAATGGACACCCCGACTGACCCCTAAGGGGCTATTCATGGACACCCGGAATCCGTATATCCGTGGTGCTGGTCTTTGTTATGTCATGTTCGATGTATCTGTTCTTTTTTGTCAAAGCCACAGGGCAGGGAGGGAATCGAACAAGTTGAGCGTTTAGACCCGTTAACGGCATGTGTAAAAACTACGGGTCCAACACGTCACCTGTTGAAGGAATGGATCATAAATATTGATCCCTGACCTTCTGGGCAGCAAAGGAAAGATGTCTGCGGAGGCAAGACTGCGCCGGCCACACCGGCAGCTTGGGTTGGCTTTCCGTTCTTCTTTCGGACCCTCTGAAAGGTGCAAGGTTCGGGGTCAGTTTTCACACGAACATCGAGCTCTACTCCCTATGGATCCACATACCTTCTGAGAAGGTGATTGGAGACTATTTCTTATGTAGGCTTGGAGGGTCCAATTACCTTCTGAGGTTCGGTGGCAGTGGATCCATAGTGGACTGTTCAGCACCCATTTCACCTCCTCAATTCGCCTTCCCTTCGGTTCCACGCCGGTCTCGGCTGGCCGGTCCCCCGCCTGAGGCGTGCAAGCCACAGGCCGCCGAGACAAAATGCTCCGCCAGCCTCAACAAGACCTGAAGCCGCGTGGTGCCATCGCGTGGCGTGGGGCCCGGCCCTCCGCCACCGTGGATGGCGCCTGTTCTTCCCTTGTACATCACCGCCCGTTCGGAAACACGCCGGTTCGCAGGTGTCCCGTTCGTCACTTTCAGTCACTTTCATGATGTCCACAGCTACACGAAGCCATCCGGGCCCAACAAATGTAGCCAGATTCCGGAAAACTGAGTAGGATCCTTCTACGACTCAGACTCAGACTATTTCTGGGTCGAAGCGAAACATCTGGTAGCTCTATATCCAGTCCCCTCAGCTTCCGAACACCGTCGCCACCAACTCCGGCCTGCATGAGTTCCAGCTGACCGCCTCGTGTGAGCTGCGGATGGAGCTCGTTACTGCCGTTGGGCGCCCAGACCTTCGAAGATAGCAGAGAGATGAGGTGGGGTGGCGGGGGTGAAGGATGGTTGGTTTTTCTCGAGAAGGTTGATATGAACATCATATAAGATAGGACGCATTGATTGGCTGGAGCATTCCTGGGACTCCTTGTCGCTCTTGGTTGGGAGGCTGGATTGATTGTTGAAGATCGATTTCAGGTTCCTTCCCCCCTTTAACTCTCCGGGCATGTATGGAGCAAGATATATTCTCTTTGATTCTCACAGCCATAAGAGATGAAGTCCAAGATCATGCCTCATGCAAGCTGGGGAGATATGCCCCACCCACCGCCCTACCACCGCCCCACCCCACCGCCCTACCTCGTCCTCGCCCTCCCGCACGGTCCAAGCGGCTGGATCGGTGAGGTTCAAGGGCGGCTTCTCCGCCAGCGGCCCCAGCGGCAGGGGCATGAGCTCGGTGAAGACGTGCTGCAGCAGAGCCACTCTCAGGAAGTTGGAGAACTTGCAGCGCTCGTAGCCCACGAAGCAGAGCTTCGCACACAGCTCCTTCTCTAGCGCAGAGCTTCGCTCGGCTTCGCTTCTTTGGACAAAGCCGGCCAACCCAACGGCTTCGGGGGAGTGTTCTGTTCTGTTGTGGTTCTTCCAGGTCCTGGGGACCCCAAAAGGCACACGACATGGCGGTGGTTTTGGTCCTGGCACACGTCATGGCGGACCTACAGGCCTTCAGCGAAAGGAACCAGACCTTCCAACCCATTCCTACACAGTGGACGGATCGCTGGAAGAAAACCAAAGTGAAAGGGTATCACCAAGGTTCGCTGGTGGAACTGGTCGAAAAACCATGAAAAAAACCTCCCTGAGCCAAAGCAGTCTTTCTAATCCAACACTTCTTCGACCCATCACTGGCTCATGGTTTCGTTCATCACTCACTCGGAACCCGACCTTCCACTCAACCCCATTCAACCAGCATGGCCTGTGAAACATGGCTCTTTCCAAAAAATAAAACAACAAAAAGCGAGTCCTCATTGGTCCTCATGCACACCTGGTGATGGCACCACATCCTCTTAGAGTTGAGATCTCTTTTCGGATGTGGATGGCACCAGAAGAAGGACTCTTTCGCTCGCCCTCTTCGCTCGCCCTCTTCAGCGAAGCGAAACACACCGAAACGTTTCGCGCACCGTGCCTCAGCGAGGCGGAGAGCCCGCACGGCCGCCTCCAAGTCAGGGATGGTCTCGGGCATCTCCAGCAGGTTGATGGGCACCAGCAGAGGAATGCCCACCTGGGGTCAGAACTCACAAGACCAGACGAAGCGCCACAAGACTTCCGCGCCAGCATCGATAGAAGAGAAGGTGGTGGTGGTGGTGGTGGTGGTGGTGGTGGTGGTGGTGGTG